TACATTTAAATTAGTTTGTACAATAATTTAAATAAAAATCAATTAAAAACCCATAAAGTTCATATCTCAATGTGCGTATGTATGTATGTATGCCAACTTGTGAATGGGGATCGGAAAGAATGTTTTCGATTGAGGCGGGTTTGTGAACTAAACCAAGAACAGATCATTATTTTCGTATTGAATTTAATTTTGAACTATTTTTCATTCATTTCGTTTTCCATATGAATAGAAATAGAAAACCAACAAAAACTCCAAAATAATATTTAATGAACATATCTTACATTGTTTTTCATTTTTACTAAAAAAAATATAAGTTTATTTTTTTATATTTATAACTCAAAAATTATATAATTATTTTTATAAATAAAACGCAACACTGAAGCTTATATTTTTAATTATAAATATTAAAAGAATTTTTATCTGTCAATTATTATAAAGAAAGATAATCTAGAGAACATTATTTTTTTTATGAGTGATTATTTCTATATGAATGTATTATGAACTTCTATGTGCATTATTTCGACTGCCTGTCCGCTGGTTTATTGCCATCCATTAGCCTTACCGCAATTCGGCAATAGTGCAGAAAGTGCGTATCTCTCGAATAAGCTTTCCATTTCTCATAGATATCGTGTGAGATATTCCACGTGCTTCCCACTGGCGATGTGGGATATGCCTTGGTGAGGTTGCTAAATGGCAACTCGATTTCGTTGGCCACCCGCTTTTTGAATTCGGAGGCATTGAAAGGCTTCTTCGCTTGCAGGGCCTGCGCGACAGCCTCCAGAAACATATTCCAACGAGGCTGGTAATAATCGCTCATCAGGCCAGACCATTGTTTCGTCGCATAGTCAAGAATCTGACCGTTTGGACCCCAGGCCGTCAGTTGATTCCGTGCATTAAATTCGTAGAGCGGACGCTGTTCCACACTGGGCGCCAATCGGTTGGCGGCCTCCAGCCAGTTGCCCAGTAAATAATGCTCTCCACTGGCCAGTATTCGCTCCATATCTGCAAGCAGTTCCAAAAGCTTGCCAGCCAGATATTCCACACGATTGAGCTGCTCCTTGCGATAAGCTGACTTCAGATTGACGTAGACGTGATCGAAGCTCTGCTGGAGGAACTGGCGCGTTATATCCACCAAGTCGTGCTCATAGATGGCACGCCTGTTATCCTTTAGGGGTACAATTTCGCTTGCCTCCAGCATTAGGCGCCAAGCCTCATAGATCGTGGTTGCATTGTACCAAATCCAAGGATTAAGATTCAAGCTCGGCCTTTTGTTCAACGAATACTTTCCACGCATGCGCTCTACGCCATGAAAGGAGTAAACGCTCTCCCGCAGCAGTTGCCACACCTGCGATAAGCGCGTATCATTTACGCCGTAACGTGTCAAAGCAAAGTGCTCGAACCAATCTTCAAGCTGCAACTCATCTGAACTCCAGCCTTGCTCGAGAGTGAGGGCGAACATGGCATAGTTTTGGCCAATGCCTTCGGGCGTTATGCCCACGCCCACCAAACTGCTGTTGGGCATGGAGCGGGCAGCTATGATTTTACTAGTTATCAACTGGGCGGAGCCAAAGAGACCAAGGGTGCCACCGAAATTGTTGAGCATGCACCAGACAAAGGGCTGGCCATAGTAGGAGTGCGTCCGCTGGTATTGCGGAAATTGTTCGCTTTGCAGATCCAAGACCAGGATGCGACCCCGTGGCACAGCGGTGAGGAAAGCTTCGATGAGATCGTCTGTCCAGAAGAAGGACTTTAAGAACATCCAACCCTGTAGCAGCCACACAGCATCAGTATCCACTTCATGCATTGAGCTGTAAATGGCCTTGGCGGTGGATCGCATGTAGTTCGGCTCGCCAACACGTGGCATCATCTCGTTGAACGGATCACTGAAGTAGATGTGATTGGAGCCATAGACTTGGATGACACGGCGCAAAAACAATGCACCCAACTGCTGAAAGAGCGGATCTTCCGGCTCCACAAACAGGTCACAGCAATAGAGATCGGGAAAATTGTTCCATCGCTGGGCCGGCGTGAAGCTGGCATTGGGAAAGACGCGTCGCATTGCGGTTGGCACATGCCCAGCAAACGCAGGCAGAGCCACGCTCATGCCCAGCTCACGCTGAGCCCCAAGTATCCGCTGTTGCAGTCGCTGCTGCAGCTGCCTGTGTGCAGGCGGCAAAGGTCCAGCCCAGCCCCGAATGTTGCCCATGCGCTGCCAGGCCTGGAATGCAGGGCCCGCAAAGTGTGCATCGATTTCCTCGGGAGTGAGTCCCAGCTCAGTGTAGACATCCTGCCAGATGGCCTCCTGATTGGGGGCGATCACTAGATTAATGCCCATCATGGCCATCCAATCGATGTGACGTCGCCACTCATCGAATTGCCACCACACAAAGCTATAGCTCCAAGTGCAAACATTTTGATAATAGATAAGCGAACTGCCGGACTTTGAGCGGTATGTCGCATTAGGCGGATCCCAATTTTCTGGCAGCTCAATTTGGGTTTTAAACCAATCCAAGTCCTTGTTCAGCACATGCTTTAGATAATAGTGGAAGCCCTTGCATACAGAGACCCCATTTGATCCAGCAATCAACACCTTTCCATTCTCTAAGCGACTTATCTATAATAGAAACATATGTTTTCTTATTCTAACTGAAATTTGTAAGCCAATATATATACACAAGTACACACCTGATAGCTGTTGGCTTCTAGAATCCTGTTAACTTCCACCTGAAACCATTGTGATGCTCGAAGTCCAATCACACGCTGAATAAGCTGCTTCACAGCATCTTCCTGCACATCGGGCGATGTGTCTGGTGCAAAGCGGGCCGCCAAATCCGATCCGAGATCGCATTTTGTCAAGGTCAAAATATGGACGAATGCCAAGAGCGCGCACAAATTGATGCGCCCGAACATGACAATTGAAGTCAATGGCACAAGTCTCACTGAAATCGAGCCGGCAATTGGGTTCTTGGCTGCCGCAATTGTTGATAATGAGTGTGACGTTGTGCGAGACCGCTATAATGATCGTTGTATTAGTAATTTGTGAGAGCAAATGAAAATAAAATGAACGTATGTACCGCACTCCGGCTAACTGTATATTATTGCAGCTGAATTGTAATTGAATTTATTCAACTGCAGCCAATGCTGAATATATATATATAATAGGTATGTATGCTAATGCAATAAAAGTGCGAGTATTTATGCAGTCTGTTAATTTTGCCAATTATATTTACTCATTTTCGCCACTCACTATTCATGTGTAAATTTGAGTTTAAAACGGTAAACACAACAGTTTACCGATGTTTGTGCTTAAATAAATGAAGATTTGCATGTGTACACACGGAAACGTTTGAGTGAATTCGTTGTGCATATATTCCAATGTATTAACAAGTTAAAATTCAATATAAATTTGTGACATCGTTACGTCTTTGTATCATAAGCATGCATTTTTAAATTTTATTCATTTTCGATTCGCTTAAAACTTTCAACACATCGCGCCTTTTTCAATGCTTGACGTATGTACTCACTGGAAATGCTTGATACGATTTGTGATCTGATGATATATCGATACATTGAGATTAATATGCATCGGTAAGAGAAACAAATATTTGAATTTGGATTTGTGCTATTGGATTTGTGTTATTGAAATGATGGAGTTTTTAAGATGTCTAGTAATAGATAATGATAATAAAAGTCATTAGCTCAAAATGATATTTTTAAGATTGATTGATTTTATTTTAAGTCTACTACAAATATAATTAGGGTTTTACTTCAATGTGAAGCTTTAAAACTTTGTAGAAATTTATAATTAATTAAAAAAACAAGTCATTGTGATTGATGTTATAAAACATGTGAGTGCTGTCTTTGTATATAGATGGAAAAGTGGACATGAAATATGGAATGAATATTATTAAAGGTAAATACAATGATCATATGAGTTTTTAGCGCACTGTTGGATAAAAGAGTCTTGAATAAAACTGATGAGTTTAATTTGAAAGCCTTTATAATTCCTGCCCAAGATATATCCACTGAAACCTTTTAATGCAGCGTTCTGTTTATTGCAACTTACTTATAAGATAGGGAACAGCTGTTTTCCAACTGTGGATAATTAATTGTGTGTAACAATCAAATTCATTTTGTGATAGCCATAGTTTTGAATACGCTGAATAAACAGCCAGTCGCGAATCAGGCGATACCACAAAAAAAAATTCTTTTTCTTTCTTTAAATATTAAAAAACAAAAAAAATTCAATTCAATTTAACGTAAATTAAATTCGCTTTTGTGATTATTTGTGTATTACATCTTTATTTCACATCTTTGTCTTAGACACTAAACAGTAATACAAATAATATTCAAATATTTCTGCATCTAAAATACAAAATACAAATCCAACAAGATACATGTATATATGTATATATTGTATGTCTAAGTAGCCGGACTCATCTTACATCGATTTCCAAACAATTTTGGATAACAATAAAGCAATTTATATAAATAAGATTAACAGCGATTTTTGGCAAACATATTCAATATAAAAAGCATTAACTTAATGTTCTGCATACTACGAAATATTCGCTTGACTACGTTTAACGAATACATGATGTACATGTACAATCTACATACATATTTCATACATCATTAATAGCTTTTTAATTTAAAAGCCTAACATGTTGCATTTTCACAAAAAGAAAATTCATTTCGCACATTTCAAAAGCGACTAGCACTTAAAAAAAACAGCCCCATGTGTGTGTGAGTGTGTAAAAATACTTTTGTCTGTATATGTGCACAGTTAAATCTATATAATAACTATAAATATATACGTTAAGTACATCAATTGAAACAACCTGATTGCAATATTTGTGTTTTCGCTCTGAATACACCAAATTTGTGGATTATGTTCAAATACACTTTTGGCCATAATTTGAATCCCATTCTGGTTTAGTGGGTCATACGTTGAGCCCCTTTCTTGTTTTGTTTTGTGGTTTCATTTCTTATTATTTTTGTTTTGTAAATTCGTTGTGCTTCCTTTTTGAAAGAGTTGCGCGCATGGTTTCCTTGTCATTTCTAATCATCTCCTCTCGTACGTTTTCTGCTCCTAAATTGAGTATGCTATTTGTCTGACTGTCTGTCCTAGATTTCTACTCACATCAATTGGGACGCTATTGGTCTGGCCAGATATTGGTTAATTGGGTTTAATGTCGCTTGACTCATTTCATATCAATTTGGTAATTCGCTGTTCCGTTTCTATTCATCTATTGTGTAGGTCTTTTTACTCGTTGATTAGCATCCTCCTTAGCTGGTTAACTGAGCTACTCGCTTATTGAGTAGGCCTTTCGCATGCATTTGCTGTGCCGCGTGCTGCGCAGCTCCCCTTCCTCTGGTCCATGATCTTGTTGATGCTGGCCATTGGCGCTAGAGTCGCCATCGTGGTTAGCTGCAGTAGAGGATTTATTCAGAGCGTAGGTACGTATAAAATCAATTGTGGAATAGCCTTGAGAGCCCACAAGTTCTGTAGCTGGTGTCGCGGCTGCTCCAGTCGTGGAGTTTCTGTTCTGCGGCAATGTCATCGCATCGGATACTTTACTTGCTTCCGGCGTTAAGGGCGCTGTGTTCGAGAGGGAAAGCCCGCTGCCAAAGCCGTTGGCTAGTGGTTTGGGGGAGCTCTGGGCAGGACTCCGCGGCTGATCCAAGTCAAGCACAATGTAGTTGACGCCTGGAAAACTCGTTGGGGTAACAGGCTGCGGCTGCGGCTGCTGCTGCTGTTGCAATGGCTGTTGCTGCGATGAAGAGACAACCGAATGCTGCGAAGAGTCACGGGGCAGCAGGGGCAGATCCAACCGGTTGATGTTCTCGTAGCAACGTTCGCTATCGAAAAGCAAACGATCCACGTTTGCATATAGACGCAACGATTCAGCGAGAGCCGGCGCTGCTTCCTGGGGCGGCATATCGCCCAAATTTTGTTGCTGCTGCTGATGCCTACGCATGGTGCTGAGAGCACTATTCGTAGAGGTGGGCGTGGCTTGGAGCGGGGATCCGCAACTGGTCTGCTCCTGCAGCAAGCGTTGCATCGGCTGATCGAAGTAGACATTGGCACTTGTGTTGATATAGGCGCCTGGGGTGATAGGCGACTGCAGAGCTCCATTGCTGACCTGGTCGGCATTGACAAGTTGCAGATTTGGCAGCGAATCGGGTGAATCTGAGGTCACGGCGATGGCATCGGTTGGGTGGTGGTGTTGCTGCGACTGCAAAGCGCTTCGTGCAAGAATCGGAGCCGGCTCCAAATAATTATTGCTATGTGGCTGCACATCGCTGCGCCCCATCAGCACAGAAACGGAATGCGTGGAGTTTACGCGCTCCCGTTCACGTTCCCGCTCCACTTGGGCAAAGGCATCTGTATTCACCGCATTGATATATGTTTGAAACATAGGATAGAGTTGCTCAGCATTGTGTATGCGAAACGTGTAGATGCCCGGTCCGGACATGCAGCGGCGTCCAGCCTCGAAGGAAAACAGATCTCCATTCAGACCATACCGTCGCAAGTGCTGCAATGCCCATACAATTGGCTCGCAGCCAGGCGACATGAATATCAATTCACGTGGTGTCAACTCCAAGTAGCCGCTGCGCACAATTGGCGCCTCCGGTCCACTGGGCTGCAAATGGGCAACACGTACTCGAAAGACATTCTCCTGTCGCAGCTCGCTCAGCTTGTTGGTGCTGGTGATGCAGCCCATCGCGTACTGCAACATCAAATAATGTAAGTCACTGAAACTTAAATTACGCAGACACAATATACACACCTTTGGCTACCTTCTGTTATCTTTAGCATGGGCACGACGCATGGCATGAGACTCGACAAATTGTGTGGCACTTCATTTAGAGGACGTTTATTTCTATTAAATTTTACAATTAATTGGTAGCCAACTAAGTACTCTAATGCTCTTTTGGCAATTTATTATTTAGTTTATTTCAATTATTTTATTTTGTATTTGCTACTGCTGTTACAGTGCTCGTTTGTTAACTTAACATTTTGCCAATTTCTTTTTAACAGTGCAATTCTTCAAGTAGTTTAATCCTTGGTATGCCAAACGAAATTTGTGTGTCTTTTATACTTGTCTTAATATATTTATGTAGAAAATTTGATGAAATGAATAAATGTCTTGCAGTTATAAAAGCAATATCAAGTCGTTAAAAAGCTTAAATCATTTTAAAATATGTATAAAACATGCTAACTCTGTTAACAGCGTACTTTTGGATATGCATAACAGAATCAGCTGATGATGAATTCATCGTTATGGCTATGAACTATCGACATACATATGTATTTTTTGCAAAGTAAAAAATTGCTTACTTTATTTCCTATATTTTTTAACATATAAGTAAAAATAGTCAGTTTGTATGTTTTTTCTTTAAGTGTAGAAATTGTATGCACATTTCATCCATATTGAAATATGGATACAGATCATACTATTTTTTTATATACATATGCACATACATACATTTCTATGAATGCAATAACGTACCGGAATTTTTTATGTGCATGTGTATATGAATTCGAACTTTTGTACATATGTATGTATGTCTGCTCATTTAGTGAGTCTCGTGCGAGCATCAATCTTATCAGTCCCTAAAAACGGTGTTCTTTTTAAGAGCATTGCACGAATAATTCCACTCAAAGCTCACAACCGAATAAAGCGAAAAAGAAACTGCATAATCTTGCTCATAGCGAGAATATAAAAATTTTCAAGAAATAATTACCCTCAGAGTCGAAGCCAGGATCACATTGATCCCTTCTTTCAATCTGTAGATTTCATTCAATAAAGAATAAACTGAGATTGTGACTTAGTATTGATTATTGCATCCTCGCATATACAAGCCTATAAAATAAAAATAGGTGCTTTACGAATACGAAAACAACTTACTTTTACATATTGATTAGTGTTAGCAAAAAAAAAAATAAAAATAAAAATATTGAACATCGTTATTCTTAATATGTATGCTTAAATAAAATATACACTTGAATCGCTCAATTAATCTTAATACATCTGCTATTACATATATTTTGTAAAACGGTTATTTAATTTCAATTCAAATTTAAATAGATTAGTAATGTATATTCGATATACACGACTATCGCTAGTAATCTCTAAACATACAACCTGGACTTGTTTATAAATATAAACTATCAATGAATAAACTTTTTCGAACTCTATATTTCTTAATTGGCGTTTTAAATAAACAGAGCATAAATATATCGGATTTAAGAATAATCGAATAATTTCATCGATGAATCGAATAGCTAATAAAAAACATGCTTAATTTAAAAACAAATTTTTGTCATTGTCATTTAATGTACTATGTGGAACTTTCAAATTACCCGTATCCCACTTTTATATATAACACTTTATTTTAACAACTCTATTATCAATCAACGTATTTAAAACAATTTAAAATTTAATTTAATTTAAACTTACTTGCATGTTTTTTCTTTGCGTATATTATATACATACGTAAATAAACAGGTTTTTAAGTTAAAAATCTCAAAACAACCAATTCGAATTCAGGATTAATAACTTAATAAAATGAGTAAATAATTTTCCTAAAGGCAAAGATCTATTAATTCTATACAGACATGTATGTATGTATATATGTACATATGTATGTATTTCTGTAGTTTTGTGCTAAATGAAAATGGTTGAACGTTGTTCCTGTGCTTTTTATTGCACTTAGCTTAACAATAACTTCAGAAATTACAAAATATAATTAACATGCAAGTGAGCAATAGGCCTAATTGTTTAGTTTGAGCATCACGTTCTTTATATCTTAATCCTACCTGCAGTAAGTCGTAAGCTGCCACAGAACTTCCCAAAAAAATCTTTTACTATTGAACAGATATTCAATCTCTGTTACCCGCCCGTTGTGCCACTCAAATAAATGTCCATCACATCTTTATTTAGGTGAACGAACTGACGACGCTTCGGTATCGGCTGTATATTTGGGAGACGAGTTCCATTCACAGCATTCAGACTAAGCATTGACTCGCCATCATCGTCGCTGCTGGATGATGGCTGCTCCACCCGTTTGCGCTTCGTGTTGGTGCTAGAGGAGACCTCCTTGTTGCTAGTTGACGTTATTGATGACGGATCGGATGTCGAAGAGTATGCCGATACTACACTAGAGCTCTGTGTCTGTTGTTGACTGCTGCTCACATCTGATATGGAATTCGTGGTGCCTGCGCTACGGTTTTTGGTCTTTCGTAATTGCACAGCGTGTTTCAGCTTGACCTTGTAAATTTTCAGCAATGTGTCAAGACAGCTGCCACAGATGAGCGTTGTCCTACGCAATTCCGGATTTATATGTTTAGCGAAACTCAGGACTCTCTCGTTGGTGATTGTTTTGTGTGGAGGTCGCAGTAGATGATTGCCCAGGCCGCAGTACCGTTTACGACTGGCTGGGGATGTTCCTTTTGGTGTTGGCGGCATCCTTGTATTGTTAAATCAGCCTTCAAATTTGTGTGCTTATACACGTTTAAAATTGTTTTATTGCAACGCTTCCTTTGCTCCCATTTCCCGCCGAATATGAGTTATTTATGTTATATTGTGTGTGACCGCATACTGATAAATCGAAAATCCAATATTAGATATAAAAAATACCAAATACCAATTCACGACTTTATCGATATGAAATGGTAATGCTTGTACATTTTTATGAACAAACTTCGCTATCCATATTGATGAGAATAAAAGTTGCAGGATTTTTCCCAAATTAACCTAAAATAACAATCATAAAACATTGCGATTTACGTTAGACACCGTAAACTCTTTAATTTATTATGTTGATAGTTCAGTATTAAAAGTTTTACAAAGCTGTCAGTTAACTCTCGATTTTAAATTGAACAGCAGCCAACTCGCCCCGCTTAACTTTCCTAAGAGTGACTGGAAAACTATCGATAGGTATCAGCGTTTAGCTTGGTGAAGGGAATGAAAATGAAAAAAATGTGCCCATTTGTTCACACACACACTCTGCTTCAACGCATTCGGTTTGTTTGACAGCTCTACGTGAGACAGAAAGTAGTTTAAAAGAAAGAAGAACGAACTGCGGTTTATATTTGAAAAATCAGAGTATAAGAATAAAGTGCGTGTGCGTAATATAAGTAACGAGCCAGGTAAATGCAACTTACAATATTCATTTCATTCAAAATGAGTTCGAAAAACGCATAAAAAATGGCAATCATGAAATTTGAAAAACCAAGCCAAGCTGTCTGAGTGCCTTTGTATGTGTAAGTGCTGCTGTTGAAATTCTGTATAACGCTTTGTATATGTACTTCTGGAGTTTTAATAGTGTGTGAATGCGAGTGTAGGACGAGACTTTGTGAATTATGACTTAAAATCGTGTGTATATATATACGCTAAGTGCAATAATAAGTAAAATTGATCAGTAAAGTGAAAAGAAACTTTAATACAACTGCCACAGACAGCTTAAGCAAAGAAAACTCAAAAAGGACGCCATGCTATTGCCTGTATGTGTGTGTTTGACTGAGTGTATGTGGGCTGGACGCGTTGACAGAAATTTGCCAAATTTTATATTAATGATTTATAAATAAATGTGAAATACATTGACAGCTTTAAATTGCAATGATAAAAAATAATCTAACACAACTGATTGATTATAGTATTCGGCATTATTCGCAGCCTTTTTCTCAACTTTGGGTGTGCCGCCTGCAGTTGCGTCGGCGTTGCCACCTCGTTGCCGCTGTCGGCGTCGCTGCCGGTGGCTTTGTATCCGTTTTGGTTCTCTTTCTCTTGCCTTCCCTTTCTTGCCTACTGTATACAAGCCTGTTTCTCTCACTCTTTTGTTGTCTGTCTTGTGCTCTATGTTGCTTATCAACATTCTTCCCTTGCGTGCTTCATTTATCCTTTTTACGCTTTGTGCTGTCACTCGTACGCTCCTTGGCTTGTCGCTTCTTTCTTTTGTAAGTGCGTATATATGGATGCACATGCCTGTGTGCTGTGTGAGCGAGCGAGTACGAGTGTGAGTTTTGGTATATGCGTGAGTGTGTGTCTGTGCGACTGTTGCCTTGTTCGTTCAAGTTGCCTGACTTGACTTATTTTTCATTGTCGTTGTGTCTTGTCTTTGTTTGAGCATTCTACGCCTGATTACACTTGCCAACACGTTCGCTCTTGGACTTGTTCGCTAAAAATATCCTTGCCTAATGCTCAGTTTGTTATACCGAGTGGCTTTTACTTTCCTCGAGTTGATTGGTAGACGCCCAAGCCTGCGGATCGTGTTGATGGCAAAAGAAAAAACATTCGGGATAGACGAGTGCGAGAGGGAGAGTGAGAGTACGAGAAGAAATCGCCTACCTTTTAAGAAAAAATATTGCGTCGCAAGTTTGCAGTCATTGAAGCAACAAAATCCAAGAGAGTAGTTAGCCTGCTGTCAGGCAGCAGCCACCGCCCTAACTGGCGTCGCTACTTATGTGTGTATGCATGTATGTGTGTACATGCCTGTCTGCTGGTATACGTATACGTGCATGGGAATACTTGTGTGCATGTGTATGCAGCCAGTACGGTAAATATTCTGCAGACCGCATATGCCGAAACAGCTAATTATTGACCCACGAAATTGAAACTAAATAAGCAAATTAATAAAAATTAAAATTCAAAACCCCTATTCATATCTATATGTATCAAAATATATACATATATAATATTATTTGTTTATTTTATTATTGATTTAGCCACTTTAGCAATTTGTGATACATGAGTTTTCACTGTAGATCTGTCCTTTATGTTTGCTTGGCATTCTGAATCGCACTGAAAGCTCAGCTCGGGGCGGATTGAAGTCGGCTCAAATTACAAACATTTGGTTTTCGAGTGCGGGATGGAGGAAAGAGGATAGTTAAAGGAGGGAGGGAGGGGCTGCCAATCGTATTTTGTTATCGTTTTTAATATTGACGCGAGGGCACAGTTAACCGATGTTGCCAACTGCGGTTGACTTAAACGAAAATAATTTCTGTGGCTAACGTTTTCAATACCGTTACGTAAAATTCGCCAAGTGCAATTTGTGGTCGACTGCCTTACTGTGTAGCTGACTGAACGTGGGTGACTTATAATGTAGGTGTATATTATAGCTTCATCAAATTTGAGATATAAGTGCCTTAACCTTATATTTAATCTTTTGGCCGGGTCGTAGAAAAATGAAGTCTGTCACAGTCAAGTGGAAAGTATTTAAAATCTCTCAAGCGTTCTAGCAGCTGGGGTCTGCTGTAAATTTAACAGCCACTTTAAAAGCATATTTGGAATGTCTATACATACATAGGTATATACATAGACACATATGTACATGTATGTATATGCCTATATAACTACGTTCGTATATAAATACAGCAATCGCTCGCAATAAGATCTGCTCTAATCTGTGATAGAATTATATATTATAATTTCACGTAAAATATTAAGTTGAGAGTAACTGGAAATGAACGGAAATGGAATTTATGAAGAAAATATACAGATCAGAAGATAATCCAAATAAAACACATAATAGTGTATAATCGCTTATTTTGAATTTTTAATGAGATAATATTTAGGTAACCTGTCAACACAGGTAACAGTAAATGCACTAAAACTTTGACAATCTAAAAAGCAAACCTAAAAAGCAGAAGATAAACAAAATTGATGCGTCTGGGACTCCTTGTACATATGAATAGTGTACGATTTCGTACTTCCATTAGATATTTCATCTGTGAACTGAAGAAACTACACTGAGCCCAATATGCTGTTACAAATAGTGTAATATCTACATATGGATGTATGTAATATCTAAACTAAATTTTAGAGTAACTGTGAGCAGAAGTAAATATATACTCCATTGGGCAATTGAAAAAGAAAATATACAAAGATAAGCTAGAATAATTGTATTTTCAGGACTCCTATGCACATGTGAAATGTGTAACATTTCTTATTTGTATTATCTATCGCATAGCTTACTGTATTTTGCTTAAGTGCAAAGTTTCAACTACAATAACAAGAATATTCTATGATTTTCACTAACAACGCAATTTGTGACGATCCGGCAGCATTTCTCATGAGTCGCGACCGCGACCGCTTATCTGCGGGCGACCGGCCGGCCGGCCTGCCTGACTGACTGAACCCCCTCGGCCGCCCACACGGCCTACCGTGCCGGCTACGTTTACGGCTCTCGTTTCGTTTTGCTGCTCATCTTATTGCGCTTTGTTTGTTATTATTGTTACGGATTGATTTTTGCTTTGCCTACGAATTTTTTTGAATGTGGCATATTTATTCTTGCACACATACATATGCTATGCCATTGCTGCTTATTGTTGAATTGGCATTAATAATAATTTAAATTGCCCGCCAACGATAGCCATAAATAAACAAACACTTCGATGTATGCGTGAGTGTGTGTACTTAACTGTAAATGTACACACGTATGTATGTATGTATGTAGTTGCATGCATATGTAAGTAGTGCTTCAAGTGGTTAGGTTTGATTTTTACCGTTAGGGGGAGGCTTGGAAATGCACTACTACGTTGGCATAAGTACGAGAATATATTTGAAGTAACAAACCGCAACATATACATACATACTTATAGAAATATACATACATACATAAACACAAGAGCAAATGGCAATGGCGGCTGTTTGGAGATGTCGGCGCGGCGAGCTGCTCAAGAACATCTTTCACACACATGTTGAATTTGAGTGTGTGTATGTATGTATATGCTTATATATATATACATATGTACATACTATGTGTGCTGCATTTGAAATGGGGTGTAAGCCCATAACCAGGAATGTCAACACTTTGGCAATAGCAACCCACATATGTACACATACCTACATACATACATATGTTGTTTCATAAAACTGCATTCCTATGAAGTGATCGATAACACTCGCATCAATTAATTGATAAATTGATAAGCCATTGTATAATCAGATTAAATTTAATTAATCATCGGACACAATATTTAAAAGAATGTCCCGCAACACTTCTTAAGCGTCTCTCCTCCTATTCCGCTCTTTGTCGCTCCCGCTTTTCATTGTTGTGCAGTTGTTTATTTAAAGTTGCTACTGCAACAGCGTCCGCTTGCTGCCATGTGGGGTCATTGTGTGAAGTATGAATGGCAAAATAAAGCAATAAGGCGTGAATATGCATGCATGCGTATGTGTGAACACTTACGTACATACATACATCCATATGCATGCGGTGCCGCCGTCAAGGCTCATTAGTTTTGTTATTGACTCCTTACGCATTGTAAGCATACAGCAGCGCAGCAACAGAATAAGAAGAAAGAAACAACAGAGAGGAAAAAAAAAAAGAATATCACTATCGCTTTTATCGATATCTGCTGATGGTCATTTAATGCAATATTGTTGCCTCTGGAGCCCGCATTTCAGCTGTTGACGCCGCTGCTGGCGCTTCCGGCCTTTCTCTCTTTGTCTACTTCTGCTTCCAGCTCTGCGCTGCCGTCGCTGTCGTCGGCTGCCTGTAGCTCTGCTTACATTGCAAACCCCTGGAGTAGAAGTTTCTTTTTGCTTTCTGCGCTGCTTCTGTTTCGCTGTTAACGCTGATCGTAAGTCGGGCGGCAACCGCAGTCGTCGTTTGTTATTTGAGTTGAACGGTTTGGTGTTCGGTTGTTCTGCGACGACTTTTTTGAGACATTACGATTCGGTTGATTCCCTCCTTGTCCGCTCATAGTGCGTGTTGACGAAAGTGCTTCGCCCGTTATTAACTGCTAACTGTTAACTGTTAATTAGAAGCTCTTCTACTCATTATTGTGCCAAAAATAAAAAAGAAAAGAAAAGAAAAACATCTGCAAAACAAAGTAGCTCCTCTTCCCGGGTACTAATAATAATTTAGTGGCCACCCGCGCAGCTGACGCTGAAGCACACGACAAAAAGTAAGTACCGGAAATATGGAAGCAGAAACAGCGGGCGTCGATTTTCGCCAGTCGTCGTTTTGTCTTATGAATTATTTATGGATGTATTAAATACCCGTTTACAATACCAAAGTGGTCTGGTCCGGACACAAAGCCAAAGCGTGCAGCGCATTGAATTTCTAATCAGAATACTCAAGGCGCGCGCCACTTGCGATAACTCACTCATTTCTAGGCCTCCCAAATGGGCGGTAAGCCAATCG